ACCAGCGCTCCGGAGCCCATGACAGCTGTAACAGGTCCTGACACGGAGGGACTGCCTTTCGCGCGAGAGCTACAGGGTAAGAAGTGCTCCATGCACCAACTCAAGCAGAGGAGCTGCTGCACGCCTGCTCCTCCAGTCTTCTGCTGTTTTCGCCCCTAACAGCAGGGGGCGCTGAGGTGCCCTGGACACTTCCGGCTCAGCTCACCTGCTGTATCCGCCCCACAGAGGGCGTGGAAAAGAGAGGCTTTTAACCCAAAGATACCCTCATTAGGGTGGGCATAACTCCAAGGAATTGGCTGGGCAGCCAGCCTCCTGACAGTTACCACCTGTAGCTCCTGTGATTTAGGTAACACCAGTGCTAGTCTCTGCCTGAATTCCACACCTGTTGCTGCAGTCAGCAAACTACCACAGGCTCAAGAAAGGCAGGTCTTCCTGCAGAAGAGGCGAGGTGGACGCTAGGGCTTGTTATTCAAGGTGTGCACCCACGTCTCCTGGAGCTTGCTAGAGATGTAGAATTTCAGCCACTCTCCTCCACCCAACTGAATGAGCCACAATGCATTTTACCGAGTGCCCAGGTGTTTCATATGTGTGAGTTGGGAAACATTGTACTAGTAACTAGGGGACGTCCTACTGCCGCAGTTCACCTGCAGGTGGTTATGCTTCTGGTTAAGCATTTTATCTGCTTCTCCATTTTCTTTCTTCCTTTTATTCTTTGGCCCACATGGTCTCCAGCATCCATCAACATAGTCTGGAACTAGAAAAGGATTTACAGTTTGGTAATATCTGCTTCATTATAAAGGTTAGCAGAAGGCAGCCATCATAGGTGATAGGTTTGGGTTTTCAAGACAGTCACCAAGAGGTCTGGAGATGGATGCCTAAGTACTTTGCCTGCCATACAACAGTGTCTTAGTCATGGTCTAGACCTGCAGACTGGTTGCAGAGGTCTTCTGGTTCCTAAGCATTGTAAGCCTTGTCTGGAGACTGGTGAGCTGTGTCACAGACAAGTACTACAACTCTTCGATTATTACAAAGATGTAGATGCTCCTATGATGAATAGAATACTAAATCATTTTAAGAGCTTTTCACACTATCTTTTCTTGTCTATTCTGCTCATTAGTACACAGAATTCCATGAAAATGTGTCATAAATTTCAAGAGTCTGTCATAAATTTCAAGAGTCCCCACTGGGGACTCCTCCAGTGGTCTGGGGCTTTCTGAAGTGCCTTAACCATGAAAGACATCAGTCTGTATTTCCCACTCCATTTTGCATTTTCAAAAGATTGAAGTTTTGATTGAGAGTTAAATATAAACATTAACTTTGACATTAACCTCTTATTTTACAGAGAAGTAAAGTCTTAAAGGAACTGCTTGTTCCTAGATTACAGTTATAATGTTTCATATAACATGATTTAGAGGGGTAAGAAGATCAAGGACAGGAAGGACAAAGGAGGAGCTAAGAAAGAAGGATCTATCTGTAACATTCCTATTTTCAGTCTGTGAGTTTCCAGTATGCACGTGCTCACATTCCTACCTGTAAAGCACCCCATCAATGGCCTTCTTCCACATAGAGCTACATATTTTTATATCATGACTTTTTCAGTTACAACACTTAAAAGAATTTAGGTGAACTTGAGATAAGACTTTCAGTTTTCTGTATTGCAAACCCTTAAATCCTAATAAAAAATATAGAACACACCGGGTCACATTAATGTGACCTAGATTAAAAGCTTTCTTCTACGGAAGAGTATTTTTTTTGTTGTTCTTGTCGTTTCAGTATTCTTACTTTTTATATATTTTGTACATATTTCTACAAGGAGGTATAGTACTACATGTCTATAATTTTCACATATGTAAATATCCATATGATAGGAGCGTGCTCACAGTGCTTTATCACTAGGATGCACAATTAAAATTTTTCAGAGAGGTGAATGAGACAAATGCCTCTCGCTGGCTTTTGTCAAGGATGGAAAACTCCTCTTACTGCTGTCAGTGTTGCGCCACCAGCATTTGTGGCAGCATGGTTGTTAACATGTGAGCTTGTTAATCTAACACCAGGTCTGGAAAGAAGGAGCAGGAAAAGTACACTTGATGAGTAGTAGAACAATTTTACCTCATGTTCCTTCCTTCTCTGGCTGGTATCCAAGTCTGAAAAAAGTCCTGAAATTCATTTTCAACTGAGACCTTTTTTTTTGCATGTTATTGAGGAAGCACACAGTGTACCTGACAGGGCCGTGCACTCTTCCAGGCAGAGCAAGACTCAAGAGGGTGGCTTAATAAGACCCTGTCTCAAAACTGAAACATTAAAAGGGCCGAGGATGTTGCTTGGTATGAAAGTACCGTGTTTAATCCCCAGCACTGAAGAAGAAAGTTAAAAGCACTCAGAGATCTGTCTAATCTACCTCTCAACTCAGGGCAGCATGGTGACTGAGGACTGTGCCTGACATTGATGAGATAATGACCGAATCTGTGGGCCTTTGGATGTTCTAACTTCTTCCACAGCGATTCAATGTTGTTGGGGATGAGAACTGGAGAAAGAGACTCCCAGAGTCCTCAGCTGCTATTCAAAGTGTGGGCCCCACCTGAGCTGCTGAATCAGAAGCCTCATCTGAGCGGGGCCCCAGGATCGAGGCTCGAGGCACAGCTGAAGAAGTGGGCTGTCCCCTGGTGTATGACAGGTGCTAAGCTCTACACCGCTGTCAACCTGGGGGAAGCTTTAGCTTCTGCCCATGTGGAAAGCACCTTTGCTAGGGGCCGCAGAAGCCCCATGTCCCCGGGTCTGTGCAGGGAGCAGTTGGTCCCCACAAGGGGCTGCTCACTGTTTTCTGCTGACTTAAACAGCCACACCCGGCAAGGGACAGAAGGATTCAGACTCCATGTGCTGAAGAATGCAAAGATAATCTGAAGTGGAAGACATACACGTCATGGAGAGGGAGCAGGAAACAAAGTCGTGGGCTAGAGAGAAGGGTTTGCACCCATATTAGGAACATGAGCTCCTGCTGAATGCAGCTCCTCTTGGGGCTGCTGGAGGCTCTCAGGAGAGCTGAGGCACCTTCGTGAAAATAAATCATTTTCTCTCTTTTTTTTGGCACGGGGAATCAAACTTAGGCCTTTGTGCTTTCGAGGCAGGCTGTGGAACCACTGAGCTAAATCCCCGGCGAAAATAAATCATTTTCATTTGAGGGTGACAGGGAGGAGAAGAGAGGATGGCCAGGCAGCCTCCAAGTCAGGGATGATACTCCATGTGCATGGATAGAACGTTCCAGAGTTAGTAATCAGGGCAGAAGAGATGAACTTTAAAAAATACAAAACCAAACCTCAACAGCATTATCATCGCCTGCCTCTCGGATTTTAGACCAAATGTAGCTTCTGTGATATTTCTCCTGAGGAACGGAAGAATGGAAGAGCAGAGAGCATACAGGCTGGACAGACAGTGGTGACCATGACGGCGTTCTCACTGCGAGGCACGTCAGACTGTAAGGCCAGCCAGTGCTGTGGTGGGAGCACCCCTAGTGCTAATGTTCCACAACATTAACCGACTCGACTGTGTCGCCCCTCCACGCAGGAACGTTCAGTGGCTGCCAGTTTCCTGCTAACGTCCAAATGTCACGGTTTGCAACAGTGTGAGAGGCAGGCCAGCAGCAGCTGTCGGTGCCAACATGCGCTGAGCCGGAAACGGCTCATCCTATGGTGACCCCAGATGCATCACTGAAGCATGCAGAACTCTCTCGGGCGCTCAGAGCCCCCCTCCTGCCCAGGCTGATGGCAAAAGTGATACGGAATGGGACGAACCGAGTGCAGCCGGGTACGATGGTCACAGTGGTTGTCATTGGGGACCGGCCTCCCCAGCCCACCTCCCTCTCCCTCCGGACCTTTCCCACACCCTGTGTGCTCGTCCAAAGAAAACAGACTGCGTCCCCAGCCTCCACCCCTGCTCACACTCTTCCTACTGAATTCCTGCTCGAACCCTGCCCTTCCTTCCAGGCTTAAATGCTCTTTCTTGCAACCCTGCAAGGGAGGATTCCGGTCAGACTTACTGGGGTTTTCTCACTGTGAGTGAAAACCCTTGAGTGTAGCTGATGCTCAAACACGTTGGGAACACACGTGACGGAATCATGGCAACTCATGACTGTGTTCGGTAAACAGTGATGGGACCTGGGATGGGAATGGGGGAGGGACTGCCGTTTTGAGGGCCCCTAGGTCTCGTTTCGTGGCTGCCGTGGGTCTGAAGGAAAGGCCAGGGTCTGGGGTTCCTCATCCGTGAGGCGAGACAAGGGGAAAACCAGTTTTGAGCAGCATAATACCTCATGAGACCTGCAAAATGCTTTTCTCTGTACCAACCCCTTGGTACAGAGAAAGCTACTGTGTCCTTCACCTTTCACACCCCCAGACGAAAGAGGCCAGACAAACCCCTCTAAAGCCTGGGCTTTAATTCTGCGTTCCCAGCTGGAGCTTTTAGAGGAAGCCTTGTAAAAGTGGTAAAAGCTACCGCTGACCCACAGCCTAATGCTCTGGGTCCTCAGGGCCCATCCAAGCTAGCAGCCCCCAAATGTTGCCTTCATAGAAACCAGATGGAAAAACAAGTGTCTTGTTCCGAGTCAGAGTGCAGCCCAGAAATCAGCCCCTACTACTCTGTCACCTGTGATCTTCAGCATGTGCAGGGGCACACACACACACACACACACACACACACACACTGTGATGAAGAAACTGTAATGGGTGATCTTTGGGGACTTAACATAGATTTTATTATGAAGTATGTAAGAAAGTGGGACTGGGCACAGTTTCTCTTGCTAAATCTTTCTTAAACTGGGCCAGATGAAGGATACGAAATCGATCCATCAGTCAGTCTGTCTGCCTGTCTCCTAAGACCAGAACCCAGCAAAGTAAGGGACTGAAGCTCTCCTATTTTCCTTCAAATTCAAACTTTGCTGATAGTATGAAACACACAGATGATAAGGCACTGTACCTTGCTCATCATGAAAGAAAAAGACTACACATATCTGAAGGTGATTAATTGTCTTTATTGGAGGAGAACAAGAAGTCATCAACCTCATCGTTATGATAGAAACCTTGATGTGTATACATGATTGTCAAGGCAGAGTCATGTGCTACATAGACCCATGAGCAAACCTATGGGGGTTAAACTTCTTGCAGAGTTTACCACATGCATGGAACAAATGCACACTTCTCTTCTTTTGGACAGGCATGTTTGTATGGAAAAGTTGAACCAATTGCAAGCCTGGTACTAGTAGACATGGGGTCGTTCCTGGATTCAACATTGTAAGCTTTTGGAAAACATGCTCACGGTGGGGTGGATGTCAAAAGAAGGGTCAGAAGATTATGGGCAGCTGCAAAAGCCAATTTGGAAAATGTTCCAATGTTGATTCTGGGCAGAATGTACCTTTGACATCTTCTCACCTGAGTGTGGGACTAAGGTAGATGCTCTCTGCAACCTTTCCAGGTGGAGACGCTGCTGCGATGGTGCAGCTCTTCTGCTGACATTTAGGCCCTATTGCATGTCACCCCCGAAAAGCCAGGTGCCCAGGAAGGAGAGCAGCAGGTTTCACTGCTGTGAGACAAACATCGGAACTGAGCCTTTCCTTCCTTCTCATAGCCTGGCTGTCGACTCTGCCCCAACGTTCTGTCTCCCAAGATAGAATTCTGGGGAGCCAGGAACCTAATCTCTCCAAACTAAGATTTTCCTTTAAGAAGCAACTTGTCTGGGGCTTCTGCATCCCTAGTGCGATCTCTATGTCTAACGCCTCAAACCTTTCTCTCGTTGACTTTTTTTCCTGTTCCTAAGAAGATAAAATCACCTGTAAGTAAAACAGTACAGCAAATCATCAGATGACATAAAGATCACAGGAGAAGTTCCCCAGAGACAAAAAGGTTAAAAACAGGTAAATGGAGAAGCAGCCTTAGTGCAAAGGGCGAATGCCACAGTTTGTCCCTTTGGTGTAGAAAGATACAGACACTGAAAAGCCATTCCACGGTTTGCTTTGTCCACAAAACCAGACTTGGCAGCCACATGCTGGGTGTTCAGCTTCCAAACGCACAGCCATTAGGTTTGGAGAAGCCACAAGCTTTAGCTGCTCCCGCCGGAGGTGGCCAGGAAGTCTGGAAAGGGTGAACTCCCTCTGGATGATTTGGAGGTGCGGGCCGCTGCTGGAGCAGGAGGCAGGCTGGGCTGTGGCCAGCATGCAGGGCGGACTTCGCAGCAGGCCAGCCCCGTGCACACGCCCAGGCTGCAGACCGTGACACACCGAGATGGGACCTGGCGAGGGGCTGAAGGTTTTGTCTTCCTCCTCCTCCTTACACACGCCTGCCGCCCAAGTGTTGAGGTTTTCAAGCTAATTCATCCGCACACAAATGTCCTTGGAGCCAACAGGAAATGAACCCCTCTTTTACAAATCTGTTTTCCCAGTTCATCTTTTTCTTGATAGTTTCAGTTCTGAAAACCAAAGGCTTGGAATGTCTTTGACAAAGGTCCAGTGTACCTGCAGCCCCAACAAAGGACCTGGTCCCCCCAGAAGAGTGCCGGACTACACACAGGCATGTACACGTTGTTTTTCTTCTGGAAACTAATTGAACAGTGTTTGGTCTGGAATGTGTTTCAGGACAAGGCAAACCCTGTGGAGAGGAGACAGCGGGACATGCGAGGGGCTCGTGCACTGGCAGGAGGGGCGGGCCTTCGTCTGCTAGCCAGGAGGACTGCACAGACTTGGGAGACAGACCATCCAGTTACTGCTATGGAAAATGGGAGGAGAGGAACTGCCCTTTTCAGCCCTCACCTTCCTTCCTCGTTGCCAAAGGCGATCCATCAGCAGGAGTGTGGGAATCGTGGCAGGCGGGGGCGCTGTGGGCGGAAGCAGCCCCTCGCCTGGGACCTGCCCTGGACACTGCCTCAGTGACACCACCCTGGATCCCCTGGTGAAGATCACTTCTGACCCAGGCTCTGAGAGGGCCAGGGGAGTCCAGAGCTCTAAGACAGTGCCGCCACCCCGGGGTATGGTCTTTTCTGTCTTTAAAACTGCTCATAAACCTTGAGAGCCAGTGGGCTAATCGGGCTAAGTGTTGTTCCCCAGGGGATCGGTCCTGTTGCACCAGGGGCCCAACTGGGCTCCCCGGCCTTGGCCTTTGCTCCAAAGGGGAGCTCCTTCTCCCACCGACAGCCCATCCAGGCCGCACTGGACACAAAGGGGAACAAACGCACAGCATGAGGCAGGTAAATTGAGTCTAGGCCCCTTTTATCACACAGCTGACGTTTTCTAAAAGCCAAACCTCTGCCTTTCAGCCAGGTTCCTCAGAAAGAAGCCTAGGCCCGACTGCCCAGTCCCTGGATGCAATGCTAAGAGCAAGTCAGACAGTGGGATCCCCTCAGAGTCACAAGCTCATGTGCACCAGAGCTGCTCCCTGGTGCCCAGGTGAGACTTCAGAACCAACAAGGGTCAAGGTCAAGAACACCAGGCCACACCTACTTTTCATGCCAGCTACATCGTCCTTTCAAGATGAGCTGTGAAGGGGCAGGTTATATCCTCTATTCTCCAACGGGCCCAGGTGCTGTGGGGAGTGGTGGCCTCCTCTTTGCTCTGGGTTTTGTGCCTGTCACCTAGTCATGCCCTGTGCTTCCCAGCTCCAGCCACCTCTGCCCCACCCCAGTCTGAGGCTCCAAATCCCAGTGCCTGCAGCAAAGCAGGGAGCAGCCCAGACTGCGGGTGTCCCCTGGGTCAGAGTGCCAAGTGTCAGGCCTGTCGGGGCCTGAGCGTGGCTGCCACTCAGTGCTGGCTCAGGTGAACATTAGCTGCGCCTCCTGCCTCACTTAGGAACTGAAGATCAGGGAGCAAGGGCGGAGCACACAGGCAGCAGATGAAAGCCCACTGTTATCCCCAGGAGGACAAAAACCCACTTGCTCAGAGAAGATAAAGAGACCAAGGGGGTCTAGGGTTAGGAGAAGCCTGAGAGGGGGCTTGGGCGCTGTCCTTGGCCTCAGCCAAGCACGCTGGGGCATGGAGGAGACGCTCAACTAATACCGGCAGAACGTGGCACCAGCCAGGGGCCTGGACATGGCCTCCCATGTATCAGGTCTCAGGGAAAGGCCCATTCTGTGCTCTGCTCCCATTCTGCAAGGAGACATAAATGACGCCCAGCACTGTTGGAAAACAGCCTTCCTCCTTTCTCTCTCAAGGCCAGTGGGGGCGGCGGAGACCTCCCCAAGGGCACTCTTCACCTGTTCTACAGCTTGCGGGGACAAGTCAGCCTCAGACAAGTATCTCTATCGCCAGTAAGAGAACCCGGCTTCAAACACTGTTTCCTAGCTGCATGCGCCACACAGCACTAAGACCTGGTAACAACTCAGGTTCACCCCAGATGCGCCATGCTCAGGCGCACAATTCCCCATTCCCTTCCGTTTTCTTCCTTATACTCCATGGACCTGAGCGTTCCCATGACATTAGCGGGTTCACCACATGCGCACACACCTAGTCGGGCTCCTGAGTTTTCCCGAGTGTGTTCATCATGCTTAAGTCCTTGTCCACTTTATGGGAACAGGCGATGTGACTCCAACGTAGGTGACGCTTGCTTCTTCACCGGGTCTGCTGTCCCTTCATAGACATCTCCAGGCTTTTTGCAGATGTTGAAGAGTGATAGCTTGAATTTTCACCCTGGACAGTTGTGTGACAGAAGCCAAGTGGATTCCTGCCTGTGAGTCAGGTAGGAAAAGGCTGTACTGTTATTACACCTCCTGTGCGTGTCCTTAGCTGGGGTTGCGGAGTCTGAACACGTCTGTGTGTGTGTGTGTGTGTGTGTGTGTGTGTGTGTTTTGTGGAGGGTCGGTGGACACTGCTAAAATAGGCAAGGTATAGAAGTGACAAACCTTTGTCCAACAGGGCATTGGTCAACTGTGGGAGAGGGGCGTGGGGGCAACAGCCATGGCAGTCGCTGGGCCAGCAGGGACCCCAGAGGTTTGGTGGGGCTGCGAGGCTGTGTGGAGTTGAGCTCAGCACGCTGAGAGGGTGTGAGGGACCCAGGATCACCTGCCTGGCACCGCCTCCTCCAGGGCTGGTGAGGCTGCACTGACACCCAGCGCCCACACACTGAACCAGTGGCCTGCTCTTTCTGGGGGTCAGGGCGCCCCACATCCTGGGAAGTCCTTCATGCCAGGCAAACTGAGCTATCACAGGCCTTTGCTTCACGGTCCCCGATGACAGCGACAGCTTCACGCTGTAGAGCAGTAGGGCTGAGGCCCTTTCTGCCTTGGCCAGTGTTCTGCACACACGGTGCTCGCCTCTTATCATCCCAGAGAAATGGTTTCTTCTTCAAGGCTGGGTGAAAATATGCAGAAACGTGTGTGTCGGGAGGCCATTTTAAGTGTAAGATTAGAACTGTGTTTAAAAACAAAACAGAGAGAGAGATTCATTTTACAACTGCATAGCTGAGGTCAGAGTTCCATCTGCTGTCCCTCGGAGAAGAGAGCTGCGTGGGGGTCGCGGACACACATGGATAGCAGCGGGCCCCCGGGGAAGGGGCGCTCCCAGTCCTGGCTGTGTGGGTCCGGTGTTCACAGGGCGAGGGTCGCGGCGAGGACCGGCCGTGGGTCTCGGGGAGCAGCCGGCCTGGGGCTCCTGATGCACACTCCCCCCACAGCTGGGGAGAAGACACCCCACAGCCGCCCAGGTGCCTTCCTCAGGGCTGACCCTCCCGAGGAAGGGAGAAGAGGAGCCAAGCGCATTCAGCCTGCGAGACAGAATTCATCCTCTTCTTAGAAATTCTTCTAAGTGCCTTTAAATTCTCCTTGGAGGGGGAAAAAAATCTCTTAAAGGTTAACATAAAACTACTACTGAAGAGCAAATAATATAGGTCACGTAACTGAGATACAGATCAAAAAGACATACTTCTTCAAAGGAAAAACCTCTAATGCACAATATTCACCAATATTTTTAAATAATCCAGTTGAAATCTTTTTTTCTTCATGAAAAAAAATACACCCTAGATGGCTGCCTACACTGAGAAGAGTGGAAACGACGGAGCGACAAGCGGTCCATGCCGTGAGAGCTTTGCAAGATTCATATTTACAGCACCAGATCCTATTCACTCAGCCCCCTTGAGTTCAGTACAGTTTGTGAGAAATGCAGTATAAAATATGGCCGTAAAAAACTTCTGCCTTCCAGTCCTTTGCAGAAAGGTGCACCATGCAGGTGGGGCGGCAGGTGGCCCGGGACCCTTCCCTGCACCCGGCCCATCCACCTCCAGAGCCGGTCACTCGCTTCCAGTGTTCACTGTGGTCACAGTGGTGGGCCTGGGTCTCCGCTCGGATCCAACTCCTGAGACCCCCGACGAAGAGGACATGAAGCTACAGAGCGTCGAAGGTGCCAGGCCTGCAGGGGGACAGGGGGACACACGGGGCTCAGTGCACCAGAAGCAAATCCACGCCCTCACTCCCTGCTGTGGGGGCCGGAGTTTTTATGGATCTGAATTGATTTGTTTTGGTGGCTCTCGGAATCAAACTCCAGAGTCCAGCTGAGTGACAGCCCAGCCCGGCTGCATTTGTGCATGTACATCTGTACATTTCCCCACTGGAAAACCTTTGCAAAGTGTCCCAGATGCTTTATTATTAGACCCCGCTCACCTCTCTCTTCGGTACAACTGCTCTGGAAACACATTTCAGCCACCATGATATAGGAGGCCCTATTTACTGAACACCTACTGTGTACAGGGTACAGGGCTAGGGTTAGAATATACACCATCATCTGGGAAGTGTTCGCCTTTGCAACAGCCCCATGAAAGGAGGTACTTTAAGAGTGAGTGGCCTAGGGCCCGGAATTTAGCTCAGCAGTTCGGTGGCCTGCCTCACAAGCACAAGGACCTGAGTTGGATCCCCGGTACCACACGCACACACAAAAAGAGTGAGTGGTGTGTACTCTGTACTCTTGGAAAGAAGCATTTTCTGACACAGGGCACCTTGAAATGAGGCCATCCACCTGTTGCTCTGGGAACTCAGGAGCCCCATGACCTAAAAGAATTCCGCCTGGGTGGCACTGAAGCCTCCTCACCAGGCAGAGGTGTCGCCTGAGAATGCCCTGGTGCAGGATGCAGCAGCAGCTGTTGCAGCTCACAAGGCACATGTGCCAGGGAGCTTTGCACCCAGGACACGGGGGAATCATAAAATCAGCTACCAAGATGGGCTTCGCTGGTGTATGGCTCTAAAAACATGGTAGCACATGACTGTAATCCCAGCACTCTGGGAGGCTGAGGCAGAAAGATCGTAAGTTCAAGCCTTACCTAGAAAACTTGGCAATTTAGGGAAAGCCTGTCTCAAAAAAAGAAAAAAAAATATGAAAGAGCTGGGGTTGTAGCTCAGTGCGAAGGCCCTGGACTCAGTCCTCATACCTACAAAAACAACAGAAGGAGCAAAGAAAGGAAGGAGGGAGGGAGGGAGGCAGGGAGGGGAATCGTGGGTCCCCTTGGCCAGAGGGGAAGACTCGGGTGGGCACATGAATGTGGCGGACTGGGGTGTGCAGCTTGGCCAGAGCAACGTGAGGAGAAGTCACGAGAAACACAGTGTTGGCCAGTCCCGAAGGACAGGGGACAGCTCCAGGAGAGGAGGGGAGCCCTTCTGGAGGCAGGCGGGCAGGCGCGTGATGCCCACAGCAGGCCAAGCTGAAGGCCCGCTCAGTGCAGGGCAGAGGAGGGCAAGCAGGATGCTCAGGCCACTGCTCCGAGGCGGGCAGGAGCCACTGGCAGGCTGAGGATGAGCTCGGGATAAATGCAGAGGGCAGAGCGGGAGACAGAAGAGCATCTGTGAGCCCTCGGGGAAGTCCTATTCCCCCGAAGACGCAGGGCCACAAAGTGTTATGACGGTTATTCTCACTGCAAGCGAATTCATCTAAAGAGCTCCAGTTGCTGTCATGAGACTGGACGACTGCCAGGAGCCTCGCCTCCCTTCCTCCACCCACAGAGCAACAGCACTGGCCTGGGGTGGGCAAGGGGACAGGCCGGACCCAGACACACCGGGCCGTGTGCAGCTCGGGCAGGGACTTCTCACTGCTAAACACAAACAATGAAACCTAGGGAATACAAGGGTCAAATGATTGTATTAAAAATGTCCCCGCACAGTCGGGAGCATGGGACGGGGCCAAGCCCTGAAAGTGCCCGGCACACTGTAGCTGCTCGGCCCGGGCACTCCCTCCTGCCCGCCTGGTGCGACCCCAGAGGCCCCTCCAGAATTCAGGCCGCGCTACATACGCACAATCTTTTTGGCTGGCCAGGCTGAGGCTGCTCGAGACGCTCGCACTTGAGCTGTCCAGGCTGCTGCCGAGCTGTAACCTCCTCATGTGCCGCACGACGGCCGTGGCATTAAACGCTTGCTGAAACGCAAGAAGGGAAAAGAATCAACCGCACAACACATCCGGCTAGTTAGGTGAGGCTTCGGTGGTTTCTTTCAATCTTTGCTCACCCTACACATCGCAAGCGGCTTCACCATGCTCTGGTGCTTTAGGAAGGAAACTTACACAGCTCCCTTCCCCCAAAGGTGTGTGAGCTCGTTTAGGCCCCCTTCCCGCCAAGACATATTTTGGAGATTTAAAAAGTAGTTTTCTTCTGGCAACATAAATAAACAGAACAAACACAAAGCAGTCCCTCCACCGTTTAAGAGAGCTTTTAGAATAAAAGGTATCACGATAGTTTCATATTGTAAAATGTGGTTTTAAAATAGTATCTACTTTCCAACAAGTGTGACCCTGGTCCTAAGTCATGCATTTCTGATGTGGGGTCAAGTAGGCCGGCAGAATTAATTTTGTTTCTGTGTCATCCCTAGCGATGATCACAGACATTCTGGGTTTAAATCTATCAAAATTTTACCAGAAAATATCGATGACTTAAAACACAGATTTTCTGTCCTCTTTCCCCTCTCTGTTATCACTTTAATAAACTCTGACTATGCAGAGTTCCAACAGAGCAAAGAGAGGCGAAGGGAAGGAGAGAGCGCAAGAAAGAGCCAGGCAGTTGAGAGCCGGCGTGAACTTGATCCCTGGGCCGCAGAGGGCAACCTCTGATCACCACACCTCCTTCGCCCGAATGGGCTCCAGTTCAATGAGCAACCTGAGTGAGGTTCTGGGGGTTCCACCCACTCTCGGGTGACAGTGGCCTTGGGCAGGGAATGTCAGGACTGTGGAGGGGGTCGGCAGACACGGGACTCACTCTCCACTTGCTCTTCGCGAAGTTCTTCCGGATCTGGGCGCTGACAGACTCGTGGATGTTTTTGTTGAGGGCTGTGTCACCAGCAATCCTGAAACAGAAGCCAAGGGACCTCTTCGGTGCCGTCACTGGGCCGCGAGCTGTTCCAGGGAGCCCCCGGCCTCATGCAAACTGAGGCCGGCAGCAGCACCCTGTGGCTCATCCCTAGATCCACACACGCTACTGCCACCACCTTGCAGTCCGGTCCACCATCTGTGCTCTGCACCCGTCCCTCCATCTGCACCACCTTCCTGCCTCATTTTCCTCTTTGGGCCCCAGTTCTGTAGTCCCAGAATCCCACAGTGACAAGGCGGTCTGGGTCGTCTCCCTCCTGCTCCTCCCGGGTCCTCTCTGTCCAACACTGAGTGAGGCCTGAGTGCCCTCCCTGAGCTCTCCCACCTCCTCCCTGGATGGCCAGGGCCTGGCTCTTGGTTTCTTTGTTCCCAAGGCCTCTACTCCTTGCCACCCAGGAGTTCTGCTCCAGGACCTCACATGCAGGGCTCTCAGCTCCCTCCACCCAGCTGGGCTCTGTGACGATATTCTGCACAGCAGTGCCGCAGCCCTGGGCCCATACTTCTCTGCATCCTGTGGGAAGATCCCCAGCCTCAGCTCAGCCCTGCTTCCTGCATCTTCTACCCCTGCATTTCCCAGAGTCCCCAGAACGTCCAGGATCACATCTGCTACATTCACAGCTGGTCCATGGCATGCCTGGGACGTCTCTGCTACAGTTCGGCTCATTCCTGAGCGGGAAGCACTCAGCGAACTCACCTCCTCCTCTCCGAGTCCCCTCACCCCGCTCCCCTCCTGCTGGTGTCTCGCTCCTCGGGTCTTGGGCCTCCCCTGCCCTCTCATCTTAGGGTCCCCGAGGCTGCATCCGTCCCACCCACAGTGCTATCCGCTCCTGTTCTGACCACGTGGCCTGCCCCGTCACCGCGAGCCGTGCTCTGCCCCAGTCCACCCCGTGCTCTGTGCAAAGCCATTCAGTTCTAGGTTGATGTCTGGCACCTAAGGAAGGGTTTATTCAGCCTTGGAAAAGGTGTGGGCCGGGCAGAGCTGTGGACCACCCTCCTGGCTGGAAAGGAATGGAATAGAGGGAACCTCCCACCCCCAAGACCACAGCTGACCTGGAGACAACTTGGGTGGGGTGGGGCTGATGTCACAGACTGTGACTTCCAGCTGCTGTGGGCAACATAATAAAGGAGCTCAGGGCTTATTCAGATGAGGGCGCCTCACTGGGCCTTTCTTTTACTTGAGAATTGCAACCCTGGTCGAGAGACTGGATACTGAGTCCGCTGGCCTGGCCTGGGTTTAGAATCCAGTCTGATATTCCAGCTACAGGCAGCCTCCCAGAAATGTCCTCCCCTCTCCTCCCAGCGGGGCTGGGCACAGCCAAGATGCACCGAAGTCACCAAAATGAATGTTTCCGCTTCTAATCAGTGCCGATCGCCCCTCTCCCCAGACACACACCGGAAACGGAAAGGGCACATCTGGAAGGGCAAGTCTGAAACGGGCGCCAGGCGGCTCGGAGTGGTGGCCATCTTGCTCAGGCTGTGTCTCCTAGCCAGCCCAGCGGGGCGCTTCCTCCTGTACCATTCTTGACAGCTGCATCGTCAGGGAATGGTGCCAGTTCCCACTGCCAGTGGCCAGCTCCTCCTTGGACACAACGGGGCCAAAGTGGTAGGAAGTGTGGAATCCTCAGGCCGAGCAGTGTTGCAGGCCAGATCTGGGTTCCAAACCAAGCAGGCTGGGGAGCAGCTTTCCACCTGCCCGCCAACAGCTTGGTCTCCGGGCCCCGAGCCAGGCCTGCAGCCGACGCTTGGCTTCCTGTACCTCTCCTACAGGTTACGTGGAAAACGCAACTCTGAGCTATGTGAGGAATGTTCCCAGCTCCCTTCCCGGAGTCCTAGGCTGGCTGTGGCTGGGTCAGAGTCCCACAGGGCAGCACGTGGCCCTTGGGCTCCCTCAACCACGGTGACACAGCACAGTCCCCCTGCACAGGCCATGCTAACAACGGCTGCTGCTGTGCATGACGGGACAGGTCACAGCCGCAGCGTGGGAGGAACGAACTTGAGCAGTGTTCACCAGCAAGACGGGGGCCGTGGGGCTTAACACGGGAGGCATTTGGTGACAGGAAGTGACAGACGCTGCCGACACAGAAAGCCCTTCATGGCTCTGTAAATGGATGGCTTCATAAGTCTGTGGGTAAACGCCCCTCACTCCCATCTCCCTGCCTCTCTGGGTTTAGTCCCTACTGTAAGGATGCCATTCACGCAACCAACCTCTGCAGCCTGCCTTGCTATGCTTCTCCACTCACCGATCCTCAAGGACCTCTCTCCTTGCTTTGGGTGCTTTGGTTTGGTTTGGTTTTTGTGGTACTGAACCCAGGGCCTTTGCATGAAGCAATATCCCCAGCCCTTCATTCATTTCCCATTCCGAGACAAGGTCTTACTACATTGCTAAACTGCCCAGGCCGGCCAAAACTGGGGATCCTCCTGACTCAGCTTCCCAGAGTGCTGGGATTATAGGCGTGTACCGACACACCCAGCTACCTCTGTTGTTTTGCATGATGTCTACTCTACCTCCATGGCTCTGGTTCTGCATCTTAGCAGCCTCTCACTCAAGACAGGCTTGGTGATGCCTGGCGTGCATCCTGGGAGTGCTTTGCCAGACTCCGCTGCATCGTGATTCCTCGGGCCACTTCGAGCTCTCTGGCAGGAGTCCTGCGGGGGGAGGAGTCTCAGCCAGCCCCCAGGGGGCCCACTTGGCTAGGACATGGGCCCAGCTATTTGGCCCGATGCTAGTTTGAATGCTGCTGTGGCACTAACGGCGGTCAGTAGACGTGAGTGACGCAGATTACCTGGGTGGCCTTGTCCTCCAGTTAAGCCTTAGGGAAACAGAAGAGGGATTCTGCCTCCAGCTGACTGCAGCCTCCAGCTGACTGCAGCCTCCAGCTGACTGCAGAGCTGGCTCTTCCCAGCCTGCGACCTTGATTCGCCTGGCCCCGTAATCACCTGAGCTAATGCCTTCATTTGGAAAAAGTTACCTCACTTTACGTTCTTTATCAATGGAACCGGAGATGGAGGCGGACGGACAGACCAATCGGACCGGGATGGGCGAGCTGGACGAGGTGCCCGGACGCGTGCGTTCCCACCCTGCCTCTTGCCTCCCTCTCTGGCCAGCAGCTGGCAGCCTGCTGGCTCCACACAAGCTACCAAAGCAGAAGGCAGAGCCCCCGCGCCAGCTCCCACTGAAGCCACAGGCGCCTCCGCGCTGTCATCAGGGCAGGCAAGCGGGGCCGGGCCGAGGTACCAGGCTCGCGCCCAGCTTCCCGGGCACGCGGAAGCCCACAGTGACCACGCCGGAGCGCTAGGGGGCGCTCCGGGTTAGGAGGCGCTGAGGACGCAGCTCCCCGGCCAAGAAGTCTCCCCACGCGGGAGGCAGGGGCGCGACTCTGACAGCGCTGGGCCCGGAAGACCCCTCGGCCCAGCCCCACATTTCCAGGGCTCTGCACCTGGACGGACTCGCTTCTCCACCCAAGCCGGATTCTTTTCAACCCCCCAGCCCCTCTGATTGCAAACTTGGGAAGCTCCAGCCCGGCCCTTGCTCATCCCACCCACCAGTGCTGTGCCGGTGCCTGGAGCTTCCGGGCCCATGTGGGTGGGTCCCTCTCTGTGCCGATCGTCCTGCCCCATCCCTCTCCCACCCACCCGTGCTCCTGCTGTCACATCTGACCACCCGCTTACTGCCCGACAGGCTGCCGCCCAAAGTGCACATTCCTCCGGACAAAGCACGGCGCGGGCAATTCAGATATAACGGACGCAAGGTGTCGTCTTCACCACTGAATGGGTTATCGCACTCAACCCCTTGAAAAGCGCTCCGAAAGATCCCCTGCTGTTTACGATCTGGATTCTGCGGAGGAGGCCCGAGGTGCTCAGCTTCCCCCCAGAGGTAGTAAGAGGTAAAGCCACCCGCAACCCGTCAGCCCTGCCTGCTTCCCCTCTCCTCTCCTGCCTGTCCCCGCCATCCTCTCTTCCTCTGCATCGAGTACTTGTGGCCTGAGAACACACGGCCGTGTCCAGGCCAGAGGCCATGGTCGGCGCCGCTCGTCCGCCCTGAGCTCCCTCCCTGCTGCTGGCTGGTGCAAGCCCTGTTCTGGGGCATCACACCCTCCCCGCAGTCCCGCCCTCTCCCAGGCCCAACAGAGACTGCAGTCTGGATTTTCAAAAATGGCTGCAGAAGGAGACCAGGATTTCCCCGTCCTTCTTCCCACCCTCTGGGTGAATAAGCACTAAGGAGGCAAAGCACTGCCCTTTTTGAGGCCCTTATGCCCTCCAAAATACTCAGTCTTACAGGATTAAAGGCTATGGATATGAAATTAAAAAAAAAACAACTTTACAATCTGATCTCCACGTACTCAGACCTGCTGTCCAAAGTGACTTGCTAAAAAATACCAAGATGATACACAATCAAAACCATCCACCTGTTCAGAAAATCTCTTCCTCTTCCTTTTCCTTTAAGCATGGCAAAGAGCACTGCTGTGGAACAAGACAGTTCTGGCAGGAATCCTGGCTCTGCCGTTAGCTAGTTGTGTGGTGTTAGCTAAGTTACTTTAGTTGTCTGCAATGAGGATAAAACTACCTTGCAGAGTTATTTTAAACAGAAAAAGGAGCCAGCACAACACACAGCAGGTGTCATGGATTAAAATGCTGTGACACAGCCTCTGGGTGGGTCCCCTTGGAAGGCTAGCAGCATTGGAGACCTGGGGCCTCAGAGGGGACAGTGCTCTGTAATGCTCCTTAGGGGGACTTCTCCTAAACTCATTTTCCTGCCCTCACAGCAATGGAGACTGAATCCAGAGCCTAATGAATGCTATGCAAGCACCACTCCATGGAGTTACAACCCTCACTCCCGATTTTCATTACGTTGTGTGCTACAGTTTGAATCTTAACCCTCCCCAGCGGCTCATGTGTTAAAGGCTTAGTTCCCAGCTTGGAGCTATTGAAGGTGAGAGAAACTTCTAGAGAAGGGGCCTCAGGGAGGTCTTGGGTGTCTTCAAATACGACTGTGGGATGAGGTTCTTTTTCTCTCACTTCCTGCCAACTATAAAGTGAGCAGTTTGCTCCACCACACACTGCTTGCCATGATGTGCTGCCTCGCCACAGGCCCAAATCAACAGGGCCAACTGGCCATGGACTGAAACCTCTGAAACCCTGAGCCTAAAGATGGCTTTCCTGTTTGACAGTTGATTATCTCACATATTTTGTTACAGTTATGGAAAGCTGCTAACACACTGGGTCTTGCATTTATTTCAAAATGGATGTTCACGGGGCTTTAGTAAAAGCTATGACTGTGTGCTCTGCACCAGATACTGTATCAATCCCTTACCTTTGTTATCTCCACTGTTTCTTATATCCACTCTATAAATTAGGTATGGTCATTCTCATTCAATGATTCGAAAATTGAGACTAAGGAAAATGAGGTGTAAACCCCAAATCACAGTTAGTTGCCAGGGAAGCTTGGTTCTAACTTGGTGAACAACATAGATCTGAGGTGGCCACAACCACATGCTGACAACATACAGAAAGCACCAGTTACTTCCTGTTGAGTTGGAGAAACACTAATTGGAAAAACATCTGAAAAGGGAAAACACACATAACTTTATTTAATAATGAGTAATAAACTCAGGGAATAAAACTCTAATCTTTCTTAACATCTAACTGGGATGGGCCAGGGACTTCACTAAGTGGTTCAAGTGTCTGCCTCGCAAGCACAAGGGCCCAAGTTCGAGCCCCAGTACCAAAAAAAAAAAGTAACTGGGAAATTACCTTCAATAAAGATAATTCTGAAAAACTTTCTGCAAACTGAAAATCTGCACACTCACTGTCACATGAGTGGTTTCAGAAGACTGTGTCCTAAGGTACAAGACCATTCCAATATCGGCTGAGGTGGGAAGAAAAGGCCCTGGCCAGGAGGAGGTGAAACTGACAGCTGGGTGGACTTCATGGGCGACAGGAGCTAACAGGAAGCAGGGTAACTTTTCTTACCATGGGTGCCGAGCTGCCTGCTCACAGGTGTATCTTTTATTTGGGTCTTTCTCCATCAGATTCCGGATGAAGTCTTTTGCTGTTCAGAAAGGCACAAGGGGAAGAATCAGTTTGTGGCTTGAGATGTGCTGTGTCTTCAGGAATATCATGCGAACTACTGAAAAGATGAGACCAGCTCTCCATGGACCCTACTGTGCCACGGCGGACAGGGACCCGAAGCTACAGTGCTATGAGACACCGCCTTAGGGGAATGGAAAGTTCTTGGCAGGACACGGTGACCAGAAGCAAGCCATCAGGAACATGAGGGGCAGGGTCACAGAATGGACAGGTGACACCCTGTGCTAGCTCAAAATGTGTCACATTTCAGGTCCTGGCAGCCCACTCCGCACAGAACGGGGAAAGCTGCACCCTTCTGAGCTCAGATGTGCAGTATCTCCCGGGGCTCCTCTCCACGAGCCATGTAGAATATACTCCAGGCCCAGGTTTTCGGGGACTGAGGAAGCCAGCAAAGTGCTTCCGGGGAGGAGGACATGACATAGACAATAAAATACTGCCTCTCGGCAGCTCCTCGGAGACTACGAGCCATGCTCCCATTCACCATTTCCCCTCAGCCTGCTGCTTCTCCCCGGGGAAGTGAGTGGTATTTCTTTCCTGAGGAAATGGGAGGCCCAGAGACACTTGGCCCCTTTACCAGGGCCTGGTGCTGATCCTTCTGCCCTTGGGAAGGATGATAAACTTCCTTGGGAACATCTCAGCGTGGCATCATGGCTACGAGGCAGGGTCTGAACTGAGAGCTGGGGTTCCAATCCCAGCTCTGTCACACGGTAGCTGAGTGGCTCCAGTCCGGCTACTCCACCTCAGTTTCCTCCTCATGTGTCCAATGGGAATGACAGTCACCCCACTTGCTAGGCCGTCCTGAGGACTGACTGAATTAGCACCTGCAGAGGGCTCATGGGACACTGCTCACAACAGGCGCTTGGTAAATGTCAGCCAATAGCACTTCATCCTGAGCACCAAGATCAGGGTACAGCTGGGAGATGTGGGCGAGGGGCTTCCCACCCCTTGGCTGGGTTCAGGTGCGATCTCCCAAGCCTGTCCTCCATGGCCGGCCGGCTCATGCAACTCCCTCAGGAGCCGCCATGGGCTGGGTGTTTGTGCCTCCACAGTTCCTAGGATGAAATCCTAAACCCCAGGACGGCAGCACTGGGAGGTGATCCGAGTGGGCAGAGCTCTTTTGGAAGAGGCTGCTGTCTGTATAACGAGACCCTGTGGGCTCTGCTCTGCCTCCTGCCCCGTGACGACTCAGCCACCCAGCAAGGAGAAAGTCGGCCCTCCCAGACCGCAAATGGGCCAGTGGCCTTGGACTTGCACTTCCAGCCCCCAGAACGGTGAGGGACAAATGTTCGTTGCTTAAGCACCCAGACAGGGGTACGTGTATTTTTCATAGAGGCCTGAGGATCGTTCTGAGCCCCAGGACCCCCTGGGGAAGACCTACCCGAGTCGGAGATGTCATCCCAGTAGGGGGAGTCAAACTCGTATTCCGCCTTGAGGATCTGTTCAAAGAGCTTGGAGTCATTTTCGTCATAAAAAGGAGGGTAGCCACAGAGCCTGGAAGACAAGACCAGGCAGGAGCTGAGTGTCTGCACTCTGCCTGGAAGGATGTTCAACCAAGTCACAGAAAACTGCACAGCGTGTGCTACAAATCCAAGCTCAGCAAAGGGACCACACATTGTATGGCACAGGTGACACAGAAGTAAAATGGTTTAATATGCAGCAGAAAGGGTGAGCTCAGGTACTGACCGGAGGCAAATACATACGCTTATCTACCCTGACTCCACACAGTAAGTGGTTTCTCAACATGGAAACCCACCAGACAGCCTTCTGCAGATGAATCTTATCCCTCTTGTGTGTCCCTAATAGATGGGCGGGTGGAAAGCAGGAACCAAACATGTGCTTAGCATACACTTCAAGACCCCCTCTGGGTTCAACTTATTTAAGAAATTATCATGGGAAGAGAGGAAATTTTACAACCTGGAGTGTTACGCTGCCATGAGTCACCCTGACCTGAATGATATCACTTTACACAACCAACTGGGGCATCTGGGAGGTAACAGTGTTGACCATTACTATGTGGTAAGGATTAACAAGAGGGGACAGAAGTTATGACACCAAGGCACCATAATGCCAGCCATCTGTCCACCAAACCATTGTAAAGTTAGCTTTATTGAAAAGGTCCCGTTAGGATGTTGAACAGTAACTCACAGATCTGGACGGGCTGTAGGTCATCTAACAAATATAATAGAAGTGGAAATTTTTTATTAAATATATCAACTACAATTGTCCCATACATTGTTCTAGTTGGGTGTGGTGACACACACTCCAATCCCAGAAGTCTGGGAGTAAGGCAGGACAGTTACAAGTTCAAGCCCAACCAGGCAACTTAGCAACTTAGTGAGATGCTGCCTTAAAATAAACAATAGGGCTGGGGAAGTAGCTCGGTGCAAAAGTCTGGGTTCAATCCTATCCTCAGCACTAGCAAAGAATTGCAGACTCGGGCTGGGGATGTAGCTCAGAAATAAAGTGTGTGCTTAGCATGTGCAGTACTGGGTTCCACCTTCATTGACAGCAGGACACAGATACGTTTCTAGGTCCAAATTCCTTGTGTGAAATGTGGACGGCCAGACTACAAATTTCTCATACACTCTTTGGTTTCAAGCGACGTTGGCTCTGTGACTCCCTGTCTCTGACCGGCTGAGATACTGAGGAAAATACCTGTAGCCCTTGAGGGGCTGTGGGCAGAGGCAGTTCCTGCTGGGTGTGCACTGGAGGCAGCTATAAGGGACCACAGAGCAGTGGAGCAGGGGACTGGTGTCCCCAGTCCGGAAGGCAGGTGCAGAGCTGGTGACGCAGGTCTGGCTTACAGGACCAGGGAATGGCAGCCACCCTATGAATATCACACCCACATCTCCCTACACAGGGCAGGGCTGCTCTCCACAGCCACAGAGCCGAGACCAGCACCATGGGGACGAGTTCATGGCCACCCGCAGACGTGGGGCTCGGGAGGACCAGCTGTCCGCATGTACGGAGCGTGACGCAGGCCGAACACAGCCCGGGCCCTGCCGTTCTTCAGCCTCTCCTGCAGCAAATGGCAAGAGCACCTGGCAGCGGAGGGGCAGGCGATTGTCTCAAGGCTCTGAGACTCTGTGAGCTGTAGGATTCACATTCATCTATCCCCACCAGGCAGGGTTAGGGGCCGAGTGCCTGGAAAAATTGCATTTTTAAAGATTTGTTGCTTCTGGAGAAATGAACAACAGCCAGGGCTTCTGAAATCACCCGCACATACCTCACTGCCCAAAGAAACCTGGCCACCGGGGGATGGATAAGTAAACTGGTCCCAGAATGAGGGCCTGGGTTAAATGAAACGTGCGTATTAGGAAAAGCAGACAGAGCAAAATGTTCGTTTGTCATGGAAAAAAACTAAGCTTTGAATATGTGAGGTTTTTGTTTATTAACAACTGAGTGCATTTCATTTTATGGTTTGGCTTTCTTTTCAAGGAAAGCAAATCTTTAAAATATTCTAAGAAAAATGTCTTCTTCTTTTGACAATTTTCTTAATGTATATTCCAATTTCTTTCCATCATAGCTCTTTTGGGGGGCATATAGAGTATCATGTTCACAGGGGTACAGAATGGACCAGAAAAGAGGCAATGGATCTAGCTTGGCACCTACACGAGTTAAAATTAAGAAAGCAGATTAATGAGTAAGGACCACAATACAGTGGCATCTCTATTCCAGAATTTAATTCTTTCCACGATTCTGGCTGCAAACCGAAATGGATGAGAACTGAATCAAGTTCAGTGGTCAGGCTCCATGGTGACCTTATGGGGAAAGTGGATTCGGTTCTTGTCCAATTCAGTTCATGACCAGAACCGTGGAAAGAATTATGTTTGCGAGCCCATGTGTCAGAAGAGCAAATGTAGACGGCACAGTGTGAGTGATGCAGAGATGTGACAGGACCCCTGGCCAGGCTGCCTTGTGAGCAGGGGAATAAGAGGAGCAATGACCGTTGGGGGTCTCACGTGCATGTGAGAGCTGGGCTGTCAGTGTTACCAGGCTGCCCGCCAGCACCGCAGTGCAGTGTTCCTTACTGACACCCCGATATGTGCCGTATTTTATGTGACCTACACATCCTGTGTCACGGGTTCTAGGCATGACAGAGCCAGCCTCCGTTTCTCAGGCCTAGAAATTTATGGCTTGGTCACAATGAAACTTCAGCATCAAAGCCACCCACGGCGGCGCAGGACCACCCTGAGTGCCACCTTGCCCAGAGCTGTCTCCCAGGAAGTCCTCACAGCTGCCCGACTCCGTCACTATTTAGCTCACCTTGACCCGTGCCTTGCACAGGTATGCCCACACGTTGCTAGACTTGGTTCGCTTGTCTAGTTCAGCCTCCACTCCTGCATCACACATGTCACTGTCACGCCAGGGAGACAAGCGTCCCAGACCTCTCCTGTCAGTGCCTCCGGAGCCACGCTGTGCTGTGCCCTGCAGGCTGATGTGCGGGGCAGGCACATGGGAAGACAGCCCTGGGTGTCAGTAGGTGCCAGCCAAGGGGCTACGGCAGAGGTGGTGACAGTAGGGGCGGGCACCTCTCAGGCTGGCTGTGCTCCTGGACAGAGGCGCCGCTCCTCTTCTGGGAGCAGACTTCTGCATCCTCCCCCCCGCCCAGTAACAGAGCTCTCCCAGCTCTCAACCCTTGGTCTAGGGACACCCCCAGCCCAGGATGCCAGTGCTATTTCTGTGATGCCCTCCTACCCCATCTTCCTATACAGGCCTTGTGCCACCCTCATTTCAAAAGCAAAGAAACTAGCAATGCAGTAGAGTTTGACCTGAAGCCTACTCCTTGGATCCCTGATCTGTGCAATCCTCCTGCTTCAGCCTCCCTTGTGCTGATTATTACAGGTGTGCCCAGCCACACCCTCAGGGCTGGGTGGCTGAGATGTGCAGCGCTTCTGGTTTCTGGACTAAGGAAAGGCTGAGTACTTCTCCTGGCTGTTCTGGCACCCTTCAGCCGACCCTGGCACAGCCTCCCTGCAAGGTGGGACAGGAGCTTTGTCATGAGCTCCCAGTGCAGTGGGCACTTCCGAGGCTGTCCCTGAGCTCCACAGAGAGGACCGCACCAGGTCTTGGCCTCTGGATTCTGTACCCAGGCAGAGCCTGCCCCTAGCAGATGCTGGATGATGCTTGGAGGAATGAAGGGAGAGGCTGCATCACTGGCTGCTGAGCCCCCTCCCTGGATGGGCTGAGAACAGAGAAAAAGCCCTGGGACACCGGACAGTCGGCCACCCCTCCCCAGAGGACCACACTCCCTGCTTCTCACATTCCCTCTGCCCGGGGTGCTGGAAACACTAACACATTACGTTATTTCCAAAAAGCCCAGCAAGCAGGCCCAGCTGGAAGGCAGATCAGCCTGCCTCTGAGAGAAAATGCGCTGTGGTTTGTATCACCCAGCATAGCTCTCCTGGACGCGGACCCTTTCCATAGTGGGGAAGGTTTTGCATGGGGCGGCAATGAATGCGACACTCAGCCATGGCCAACTGTGGCTGATTTGGCAGTGAACAGTTTTTCTTGGAGACTGAAATGCTATAATGAAATAAAAGCTCCTGCTGAGACGATCTGTGTATTTGCTGCGCTCGTTATCCTGTATCATGTTCTTTGGCTTGTTTGCCCTTGGCTCTGCAGAAAGTGGACGTGTGCTGGAAGGACATCCACGTGATCACCAGGTGCTGCCTCTTTTATGGCCCCCTATCTCCATCATGCAGCTTGGCTCCTGTGTTCCCACCCTAGCAGCTCAGTGACTTATGTTCCTTAGAATAAAAGGGGGAAAAGGCTTAGGGTTTAGTACAGTCCCCAAAACTGGGAGAAAAAGCAGCTAAAGATGTGGACAGGGGTAAGGACTGTGCTCCTCATGCCAAGGTGCATGGTCAGTCCCGCTTCGAGCAGTGCAGATGAAGCCCAGATAGGGTGGCTGCTTTGTGCAGGAGGGGCAGATTCGAGGCTAAGACAGGTCAGCATCTGGACTGTGGGTCAGACAGGCGGACAGCCTAGCGGGTGGCAAGCGGGTAGCTCAGGCCACATGTGAGCGGAGGGCAGGAGGGCAGGTGGATGGCTCCGAGGTCCCAGCCTAAGTGAGGAGAGCACAGCTGTGGTGGGGAAGCCACAGGAGGCAGAGTGGGTCTCGCTGGCCTGTGTGTCAGGCACGGCGCCTGACGGTCACCACTCCCGTCAGCAGAAACTGCCGGTTCAGGGAGGGGCTCCAGGCGGCTCCTGGGAGGAGAGAGCAGACCCGTCACCCGGCCACGTGTGGTCTGGAAGCAGGGAGAGCGCAAGGCAGCAGGGACAGAGCTGGGCCCAGGGTTGAGGCTTGGGCTCATTCCACTCCAGCACTGCCACAAATCCCGTCTCTGGGGTGACCAGAGGGAATCTGCTCTTTGCCACAGATGAGGAGGCAGCCATTCCACGAAGGCTGCAGAGCGCTGACCGGGGGTGTGAGGGATGCAGGCCAAGGCACTCAGCAGGAGACAGAGGCCTGCAGGGGGCAGGTCTGG